CTGCCCCATCCCTGGAGGGGTTCAAGGCCAGGCTGGATGGGGCTTTGAGCAACCTGCTCTGGTGGGAGGTGTCCCTGCCCATGGCAGAGGATTGGAACTGGATGATCTTAAGGTCCCTTCCAACTCAAACCATTCAATAATTCTTGCCTGGCATCCTTGGGACTGCTGCTAAAAATACAGAAGACTTAATAATTGCTGGCAATATAGAATCACAGAATCATAGAATCACAGAATGGTTAGAGTATCTGAAAGATAAGAAAGTATCTGAAATACTCCAAAGTTCACGCACAATTTCTCCATTAATTGTTTAATTATAATACTTTATTATATTATTATAATTGTAATTATTGGGTTTTTTTCTATCCTCCTCCTCTCCCCGCCTTATTTTTGCCGACTACTGTGCCCCTCATAGCTCCACAGAGCTACTGCCAACATCATTGAACCCACCGGTGAATCTGATAATCCTCTGAGGTTCACGTCAGGGTTGGTGGTGGCTCTGGATGTTGATGCAACACTGGAACACGTGCAGGATCCCCAAGGAACCGTTAAAGTCCAGGTAAGCAGTGGCTTGACATAAATGCAAACAGGATTGCATCTCGGGGGGAGCTGGTTTAAGGACGTCAGTCCTTCTGAATCGCAAATAATCAGTCTGGAGAAGAGGAGGCTGAGGGGAGACCTTCTCGCGCTCTACAACTACCTGAAGGGGGGTGTAGAGAAGCAGGGGTCGATCTCAGGACAAGTCACAGGAGATAGGACAAGGGGAAATGGCCTCAAGTTGTGCCAGGGGAGGTTTAGATTGGAGATTAGGAAACATTTCTTCACGGAAAGGGTTATCCAGCATTGGAATGGGCTGCCCAGGGAGGTGGTTGAGGCACCATCCCTGGAGGTGTTCAAAGGTTGGCATGGTCCTCAGGAATATGGTTTAGTGATTTTTTATTGCTTATTTCTTATTTATTTTTTTGTCAGAGTTAGATTGATGGTTGGACTAGATGATCTTTAAGGTCCTTTCCAACCTAGACCATTCTATGATTCTGTGATCATACACTTCATTAGTCACGGTGTTGGATTTCTGCATTTTAATGGCATGTTCTGAAACTGGCTTGAGTTGATTTATCTACAGTTCCTGAGAGTTTGCTTTGAGCCCTCTGATGCCATTCTCTGCTTTCACCTGCACTGGGCACATCATGGACGTGAGCACGAATAAATACCGGTGAACTTCCAGCTTGGGTAGTAGGAGGAGGAGGAGGAAAAGAGAGAGAGAATCATAGACTCATAATTCAGTAGCTGTTCGGAATGGCCAGCGTGTGGCTGACAAATCTAGGGCAACTGGGCTCCTGGAATAAAGAATTAAGCATAAAGCACAGCTTTCTGTCTTCTGAACTCAAAGAGAAAACACCAAAACAACACACACTGTGCAAATCCCCAGTCCAAGTTGTCATTTAGTTATTTCTTTCTGGTTTTTTGAGTTTTTTTGGTTTTTTTCCCCCTCTATAGGTGTTGTATCCAGATGGACAAGCGCAGATAATCCATCCCAAACCAGCTGACTTCCGAAATCCTGGTCCTGGAAGGCACAGGCTGATAACACAGGTTTATCTCTCACACACAGCCTGGACAGGTAATGTTAATGGTACCAGTGTCTTGTTTGATCCCAGTCTCCTGCACGTAAGAAGAACCAGAGAATCATAGACTCATAATTCAGTAGCTGTTCGGAATGGCCAGCGTGTGGCTGACAAATCTAGGGCAACTGGGCTCCTGGAATAAAGAATTAAGCATAAAGCACAGCTTTCTGTCTTCTGAACTCAAAGAGAAAACACCAAAACAACACACACTGTGCAAATCCCCAGTCCAAGTTGTCATTTAGTTATTTCTTTCTGGTTTTTTGAGTTTTTTTGGTTTTTTTCCCCCTCTATAGGTGTTGTATCCAGATGGACAAGCGCAGATAATCCATCCCAAACCAGCTGACTTCCGAAATCCTGGTCCTGGAAGGCACAGGCTGATAACACAGGTTTATCTCTCACACACAGCCTGGACAGGTAATGTTAATGGTACCAGTGTCTTGTTTGATCCCAGTCTCCTGCACGTAAGAAGAACCCCCCAAAAGTCTTGGGGGCTTTGAGAATCCTGGTGTCTACAGCTGTTGTTGATGCCACCCTTAACGTTGCTCAGATTCTCACAGCCTTTTGAGTGGTGACATCTCCCTGTGGACAGGACAGTGCTGCACTGTCGGTGACTAGAGGGGCTGGGAGGGAAGAGGTGTAGAATCACAGAATCTTCTGTGTTGGAAGGGACCTTTAAGGTCATCGAGTCCAACCATTCATCTGCTGTGAGGACAGGCTGAGAGAGTTGGGGGGGGTTCAGTCTGGAGAAGAGAAGGCTCCAGGGAGACCTTAGAGCCCCTTCCAGTCCCTCAAGGGGCTCCAGGAGAGATGGGGAGGGATTCTTTATGTGGGCATGTAGTGACAGGATGAGGGGAAATGGCTTCAAACTGAAAGAGGGAGATTTAGATGAGATCTCAGGAAGACATTTTTCACTCTGAGGGTGGTGAGACACTAGAACAGGTTGCCCAGAGAAGCTGTGGCTGCCCCATCCCTGGAGGGGTTCAAGACCAGGTTGGATGGAGCTTTGAGCAACCTGGTCTGGTGGGAGGTGTCCCTGCCCAGGGCAGGGGGTTGGAACTGGATGATCTTTATGGTCCAACCCAAACCATTCTGAGATTGATGGTGGCTGTTGAGTGCAGTCCCCTGGCACTGGGAACCTTCCAGTCCAGAGCACAACAACAAGTTGTTATTGAAAGGGAAGGAGTCACCATGAACTGAGTCACCATAATTCATTGTTTCAGATGTGACAGGTATCTGAGCAGGGCAGAGAACATCTGGAACTGTGTGTACCCACCAGCATCATTTCGCTGCTGATTAAACTTCTACCCTTTTAATGCCCTAAAAACCCACCCTTTAAGTGTCTCCAGTCTCGGTGGGTGGGTGTTCACACCTCCCCATGGAAGCGCTTCAGTCATTGGTCTGTGGACTTCAAACAACAAAAGCAGAGAGTGTTTGTTCACAGCTCCCTTTGCCCTGGTTTCTTGGAATCCCTTCACGTTTATTCAAATACGGGGTGTTTTTTCTGAGCAGTTATTAATAGGATTTGGTGATCTTTTTTTTTTTTTAATTTTAACCAACAGAGTTTTGTTCAGTGCAATGTTTTTTTTTCACGGGCTCCCTTTTTATACAGCACTTCCATGGCGTTGTTCGTTCATCCTGTGATCTTTGTTTGGTTTTGGAGGATTAAAAATGGTGTCGATTCGACGACTGGAAGAATTTAAAGGTTCATCCTGTACCAGAGGGAGCTGAATCAACTCCTTATTTCTGCTTCCGCAGCGCTGGCTGGAAGGGCATTTTAAGTAGGGCCCCAGTGGATTCTCTTCTGGTGTCTCCCCCGCCGTTATTTTAACTATTAACTTTGGCATCTAAAATGTGGGGAAGAAACCAAGCTGGGGGGGAATTCAGGGGACGAGGTGAGAATTGAAAATGCCTGAATTCAGGCAAATTAAAATTATTGAAAGCCAGTAAAAAGCACGTTGGTTAGGAAGGAGAAATGCCCAAAGCAGGGATTAACCGGGAGGTGCAGCAGAAGCGATGGAGGTGACAAACGGGAGGTGACAGCGTGGTGAAAGGTGACTCAAGGGAGGTGTTTGCTGGATTCTGGGATAACTGTAGGGAAAAAGGTTATTTCTTGTGTTCTGTCTGGTGCAGATGATGTCTCAGCTGGAGGATCATTGTTGTTCTGGGCATCCCTTCTGAAAATGATGTGGGTTTCAGTAGGTTTGGTTGAGGTTTCGGTGACATGGTTCTGGTTTTGGTTAAACTGGTGTCCAGTTCAGCCCCACACACCACCCAGTGCTCACTCACTCTCCCCCCGATGGGATGGGGAGGAGAATCAGAAGGGTGAAAGTGAGGGAATTCTTTCATTGTTCAACAACAGCTACAACGTCCCTGTGTTACCAGCACTGTTTTAGTCACAAATCTGAAATTTAGCACCACGCGAACTACCGTGAAGGAAAATTAACTTTCTCCCAGCCAAAACCAGTACAGGGCCATACAGAAAACCTAGAGGAATCCTGGTTTTCAGTCTAAAAAGGAACATTTTGATGGGGCCGTGGTCCAGCACACTGCTCAGAGTCACGCTTTGTGAAAGTGTGTTTTCATCCTGACCACTGGGAGAAGAACAAAGTGAAGTATCAGCACGCGAACTACCGTGAAGGAAAATTAACTTTCTCCCAGCCAAAACCAGTACAGGGCCATACAGAAAACCTAGAGGAATCCTGGTTTTCAGTCTAAAAAGGAACATTTTGATGGGGCCGTGGTCCAGCACACTGCTCAGAGTCACGCTTTGTGAAAGTGTGTTTTCATCCTGACCACTGGGAGAAGAACAAAGTGAAGTATCAGTATCAGGAATGTCTGTGTGGCTGCTGAGATGGTGACAGAGGGGAAAAGGCTGTTGTGCAGCCTAAAAACCTCCAACAGGAGAGAATCTTCCCTTAATCTCCTCTGCTGGGAGTCTGATCAGACATCATAGAATCACAGAATGGGACCTTAAAGATCATCCAGTTCCACCCCCCTGCCCCGGGCAGGGACACCTCCCACCAGACCAGGTTGCTCAAAGCTCCATCCAACCTGCCCTTGAACCCCTCCAGGGATGGAGCAGCCACAGCTTCTCTGGGCAACCTGAGCCAGGGTCTCACCACCCTCATGGTTAAGAATGTCTTCCTGAGATCTCATCTAAATCTTCCCTCTTTCCATTTAAAACCATTTCCCCTTGTCCTGTCACTACATTTCCTGAAAAAGAGTCCCTCCCCAGCTCTCCAGTAGCTCCCTTCAGATATTGGAAAGCCCAATATAGGTCTCCCTGGAGCCTTCTCTTCTCCAGGCTGAACAACCCCAGCTCTCTCAGCCTGTCCTCATAGGAGAGGTGCTCCAT